TTACTCCATAATGAACATAAGATGGCCAGCCAGTGTGGACCGACCAAGAGTCGAACCCCGGGCCACGTGCATGATTGGCGGGCACTCTACCACTGAACCACCCACGCTTGTCATATCAGATCAGATCACTTGAGACCTTGTCATATGTTCTGATGGTGTTTCCGTGAATTGCCGATAGTAGTGGGATAGTAAGCGACCTAATGGTTGTGTGCCAAGTGTGAAAAAGGCTGTGTGCTTTATGCATGCGCTTCGCCCTGAATACATTTGAATGGAGGTGGGGTTGGCAGAGTGGGGTATACATATTGTATTCTATTTCTTGACTTTTTATTATAATAATGATCTTGTTTATCTAACCCACTGATCTTAACTCACTGAATTAGCTTCAAATCATTTCTGAATGCTTACTTGTATATTATTACATAGTCGTTTCATTTTGCTGTATGTTGCTATTCATTTAGTACTTTTGTTGTCAAATCAGCCACCGAAACTTCGTAAATATCCGGTCGGTCGGTCGGTTTTCGACATAGAACTTTGCACATATGTGCGGCAGTTCAAGTTGCCACACTCCCTCAATGTAGCACACAGCAAGAGAAGAAGAAAGTAGGAGAAATGCATATTAGAGACAGACAGTAAACAGAGGTGTGAGACAAAGGTATAGTAATAACGAAGAACAAAACAGTTTCATTGGAAATCATAAGTCACAAGGAGTGAATGCATCTGCGCAAGCCATTGAGAACGATTTTGAGCCATATCACCGATTGTTTCCAACCATTGGTTTTTACCGTCCCGAGGACCCCAACCAGTCAGGAAGTCTACACCTTCCTACGTGGCTGGCTTAAACTAAGTGTTGTGGATTTCATTGACTGGTGAAGCCATGTTTTGGTTTGACCGCCGCTAGCTCTTTTCCAGCCTGACCCTATGTCAGCTAACATTGCCCATCAGTCGAGGAAGGCGATGACTAGGCATACGTAGCACATGTCCTAACCATCTCAGTCGATGTAATTTCACAGTTTCGTCGACTGATTTCCTCTCAAATTCGTGATGAATAACTGCCACTGTAACAACAGAAGACAAAGGCCAGGCAGACAACAAATCGTTTATTTAGGAAATCAACACATATTCATAGATTTTCATGTACATTATTATAGATTATTGTAAGCAAACAAACACAGTCTTCTGATTGGTGGTTGTTTCTCACTGAAAGTTAATGTTTCATCTTTTTGTGGCTGTTTCTTGAAGTTCAGATTATCTATCTGCAAATTGTATCCGCCTAGGCAAAGTCTGCTATGACGGGCTGTTGAGTCAGCAGTCTTTTTTCTTATTTTTCTCACGACCAATATTGGGGACGTAAACATTGACGTAAATTACTGTCTACCAATTTTGGCCAGTAGCCAGCTCTCACTACACCACTACAAGTATAATACTTGGGCACTGTGGTAGGGTATAACTCCATTATAGATAAGATTTTATTTTGAAAAAATCATGCAGTGGTCTTATACAGTATTATTTACTGATGACCACCTTTCGAGCACAATTGATCACTGCCACTAGGACCCATTCTAGCCGAAATTTTCCTGGCGAAACTAGAAAATGGGCCTTTGAAAGATGTTATTAATGAACTCGGATTTTATTGTCGATACATGGATGATACTTTTTTGATTATGAAGAACGAAAAGGAGGCAAAGAACATCCTGGATAAATTTAATGAGGTACATCCTGCAATAAATTTCACTATTGAGAAAGAAAAAGACTCTAGTATTTCATTTCTAGACGTCCTTATGACCAGAAAAGAGGATGGCACAATAAGAAGAAGTGTTTATAGAAAACCTACATCAACTGGTCAGTACACACATTTTCTCAGCTTTGTGCCCTTGAAATACAAACGCAATCTAATAAAGTGCTTGGTCCACAGAGCAAGAGCAATTTGCTCAGATGAATGTCTTGACGAGGAGCTTAACAATATTAAACGGTTGCTAAGTGAGAATGGTTATCCCGAAAAGTTTATTGATAAGAATATGAATCTAAAACCAAAACAGTCCAAGTTACCAACAGTTCTAAAGAAAGCCTTGTTCTTACAGATGCAGTTCCAAGGAGACAACACAAGTGAGATACTAACACATCGCCTCAGAAATGCGGTATAAAGAGCATTCCCTGCTGCTCAATTACGCTGTATCTTTAAAACCACTCCTCTTCTGCGTTCGGAAATAAAAGACAAACTGCCTAATTTCGCCTCTTCCATGTGTATATACTAATTTAACTGCTCCTGTGGAGCCAGTTACTTGCATAGGCCGTACAATTAGGTGTGTTTCTCGTCGAATTTCCCGAACATCACCCTGCGTGGTTGGTTAAGTAAAGGACAAACAAAATCTATTCGCAGTGCTATTCTGTCTCATCTTGTGGATCCAGAACACAAGATTGACGTTAATCATGCTTTCAGGGTCATTTATCGTATACCTACGAATCTCAATTTCGCTTTAAGAGTTCGACTTCTAAATATTGCTGAGGCTGTGGGGATCCATATTAATAAGCCTAATTTGTGCGTCCAAAAGAAGTTAGTTAGTTCAGTCATTATCATTACCTTGGCCATCCAGGTTTGAATAATCCAGAATTTTTGTGAAATTTCCCTAATTTTAGTTGATATTCTATTCTCTGTTATATCTTTATTATTATTATTATTATTATAATTTAAGCATCTTTAATGAACTGCAATAGCATTGACCATACTTTACAAATCGATATTATTTTAAAAAAACCCTAATATTGTTATTAACTACCAATTTAAAATATTCTGTGTATATAAACATAAAATATAGATATAATTGTAGAGCCTGGAAGAAGAATTTATCGAAAAGAATATTCTTTGCTCGATTATCTTGTGTTTTATAGATGTCTGAATGAATATTTTTGCAATATTTAAATAAAAATCAATATAAGATAAAGGATATTCAGAAATAATAATATGAGTGTTATTGATCAAATACAATTAGATAGGAATAAGATGCTTATATAGTAAAATGAATAAATAACTTGTTAGAATGTTATAATGTGAACTGAATACATTTTAACATTATTTAGTATCCCCTGATTTGACAATATCTTCCATATCTCTGGTATTTGCATTGAGTCACTTCTGTTGCATATGTTGGGTGAAGACTCAATGAACCAGACAGGATTCAGTAATCAACCTCTCTCTCCACCTACTTATGTTACTTCTTACAATTTTAACCCTCACACAATAGGTTGGAGAGTCATAATGGAGTTGTACTCTACCACAGTGCCCAAGTTTTATACTTATATCAATAATTATTAATAATCCGTTGGGTTCCGAGTGAAAAAATGGGAATCGATAGCACATCTCTGCTTTCTCTTATTCTCTGCAGTCCTCTTCAACTGGCCTCACGATCCCCCTATAGGCTTTAGTTGTACTTCTCACATGATCTCTTCCACGTCACTCTTGGATCCTCCACTCATCATCTGATGGTCTTCTCAGTGTGTGTTCAACCCACCTTCATTTCCTTCTGAATATTCGTTGAGCAGTAGGTTCTTGTCTGTTGGTTCGTTCTCAGAGCTGCTTGTTACTGATTGTTTCTAGCTGGTTGTCTGATGTTGAATATGGAGGGAAGGCGGCGGTTGATAAAAGCCTGTAGTGACCTGTTTGAAATGCTTCTCGTGACGCTAGCACCAGGTTCCTGACGCATATGGAAGTTTGAATAAAGCAAGAACAACAGTGGTTTGTGCAGAATAAGGTGATGGTACCATCACTATTTATTTCGTTGGCTTCTCATCAGCTCAGCTGCTTACAGCCCAAAGTCATTATTAAGTATATCTACAGAAACAATTTAAACACAATATTAAACACTATTCCGAACCATAATGATCATACACAATGGATACTTTCAACATTACGCAATCAATTGAAAGAGAGGGTGAAAATATGCAGTTACCAGGCAGGTCAAGGAAAGACTGATAACCACTTCTTTCTGAATGCATATAGAAGTGATGAATGACTTATCATTGGTGTTGGAAATTCAGATTTCTTCCTTTATGCTGAGTGCACTAGATTTCCAAACTGATTTGACAGTAATAAATGTCTGTCTTGCCTTTCTGACTCTGGTTAGCTTTCACTTCTTCATCCATGCTGCCAACCATCAGTTAAAACGATGCGACTTAGTCAGATATGTGAAAGCATTGACCTTTGTGAAATTTCTCCTGTTGATAGTGATTGGTTAACCTTATTATCTTTGTCTTCTCTATGTTCACTTGCAGTTGTGTCTTCGCTGCTGGCCTCTTCTGCCAACCTGCTGATTTTAACCTGTAAGTCTTGTGGTTTATGTAACTACAAATAGAAAATCAATGAATGCGTTAGTTTAACAAACTATTCAAAGTGTATCTATGTGTGGTACATTTTATGCGTGTGTGTATACGGTAATTTACTGTTGCATAACTGAGATAGTACATCTGACAAGGCCTCATGAATACATAAAACTTCCAAATCAAATAAATTCTACTGCTATTCTATTGTTAGATAATGCAGAATACCAAATGGCTTTTCATGTAATCTTATTTAGAAGCAAAATACTTACAATATTCTATGAATTATGCACTTGATTTAAACACAAATCACATTGAACATTGATCAATGGGTAGAGAAGATTGAACTGGTTAAATCATTATTAAAATATTGTGTACTTTTATGGTGGTTATGTATATATGCTATGGAAGTATATTGTTGAATGCACTTTCTTGAGTAGAATTTATCTTTTATTTTATCAAGTACATTCAAAGATGACTTCATGATCACAATAATATTAAAAATCGATTCTTTTATTTCACAGTATTCTTAATAATTTTTATGAGTAATTCCCTTCATGTGAATGAATGAATGAATGAAAAAGAAGCGTTGGAAAGTGCCTTTACTAATTAATAAATTAATTCAGTAGTGTATGTTGTTTCGTGCTGTGAAAGATTATGAATTGAAGAAGTATTAACCACTGACAAACCTCAAATTTTATACTGCTACCAGAAGGCGTATTAGGCAGAAATTGTTCTTCCTTATTGATAACTTTGAATGCTGTCTTCATCGTATTCTATAATTGCTTAATGTGCTGCAATTAATAGTGTTCTCTGAGCTGGTTGGTTTAGTTGCGGAGGTTTCATCGTCCTTCTGGACAACATCCCACTCAGCGTAATATTCAGCATAATGTGAAATGATTTAAATTTCTTCATGAGTGATATAATTGTATCTCCTGGTAACTATCTCTGACCATTTTCTATTGACTTGGATTTTAAACTTTCTCGTCACCTGATTTACTTTTTATTAGTTGGTATATTTCGTCTGGATTAACTAACGTGTTTGTTCATTGCATTTTCGTTTGAGTGCCAGGCTTCTAGGAATTCCCTGATTGCACTTTTAGTGTTTCCTCTGTCTAAGATTTTGAAATTATCCCAATCAAATTGATAACCATAATTGTCTATATGCATTGATACTAAAAGATATATATCGTGTCTTTTCACGGCTGATTTGTGTTCTTGGATTCTAATTCGAAGGGGACGCCCACTTTGGTCGGTGTAATGCTTGTTGCAGTCCATACAATTTATTTTGTAAATGGTATTGATTTTATCTCCTTTTTCTGTTGGATCTTTCGGTTTGCATAATATCGAATTCAGCGACTTGACTGGTTTGTGTGCTATATTTATTTCAAACGGTTTCAGTATTCTAGCTGTTATTTCAGAGATATTCCTCATGTATGGTAAAATGAATTTTCCTGTGGTCTTTGATGATGGTTGTTTGTTGGTGTTTTGATTCGACTTCAAACACTTTTTGATGAAATTTTGTGGATAACCATTCTTTTTGAAGACCTCCATTCTTTCCAACTCTGGAGTGCTACAATGTGTTTGAACTCTTTTAAACAATGTCTGCACACAGTTTTGTTTGTGAGTAACTGGATTATTGCTAGTATAGTCGAGTATTTGATCTGTGTGCGTTGATTTTCTATATACTTGTGTTTCTAAATCTCCTGTGTTGGTTCTCCTGATGATGATGCTACTGATGAGAATGTCTAAGTAGTATATATTTTGTGAGTGAGGAAAATGATGGATTAAAATGCATGAAATCAACAGAAAGGAAACAAAACGAAGAATACAGTGTTCATCCGACTTTAAGATAATATTAACAGTACTTACGCGGACTGGTTCCTCACCATGATTTCTGTCATGAAGTCGAAACTAAGCCAAATATTAAACATCTTCGATTAAGCCCTTTCTGTGATCTTTCTTAGTCGTCTTACAATCTGGTGATTTCTACGAAACTATTTCATCTCACCTTATACATAAGAGAAGTTATGACGTTATGGTGTAATGTAGGCTCTACTTTTACAGCATGTTGTCTGATATATCTGACCTGCTATTTCGTCAGTGTTCTCCCCGGTAATTTTTCCCGGTTACTTAAAAAAAGACTTTGTTACATTGTGAGGAACACTAAAAGCTGTCAGTTGGGTAATCGTTGTGGCTCGTGTGTTAACATGTCGGCCTTGCTACTGACAGACATTTGAAGTTATGCAAGGAATTGGTAGAAGTTATTTCAAACGACAAAGAAATTGAGTTAGGAATATTCTTTACATTATCTTCGTCATCATTTAATGGTGATTTGAATATAGGATAAAATTAAGAAGTAACAATGAGAGGTAGTTAAAATAATAATGGTTAAGATAAGCAAAGCATTTGTACGAATTTCTTGTCAATGTATAATATCGGCTCCTTCATATGGATTCCAATGGTTTCAGTTGTATGTCGAAGGCGGATTCGTTACGTAAAATGAAGATTAGTCGGAATACTTTGGGTAGATAACTTTAAATGCCTTATTAACACACACTGCTTTATGTACAATACCTAAAGCAGGTATACTAAAGCAGAGCTACGAATAAACATCATTTTTCCCATGTTTAACCAAGATGCAGGATGATGTTTAGAAATCCAGTGACGGACATGCTCATGTGTTTTGTCTTCTGAAAGTCATTTTATGTGGAACTCTGAGTACCATCTCTAATCAGAAGTATTCCCCTTGTATATTGTCACGTAGAACAAGAGGAAATTAGGAAGAAGTTTACACTCACATTGTAACAACAGAAGACAAGGGCCAGGCAACAGATCATTTATTAAGGAAATCAAAGCATATTTATATATTTTCATGTACACTATTGTTGTTTAGTTAAGTAAACAAACACAATCTTCGGATTGGTGGTTGTTTCTCACTGAAAGTTAATCTTTCATCTCTTTGTGACTGTTTCTTGAATGTCAGATCATCTATATGTTAACTGTATCCGCCTACGCAAAGTCTGCTGTGGTCGGTTTTTGAATCAGTCTTGTTCATATTTTCTCACGATTAATCTTGAGAACGTAAACATTGACGTAAATTACTGTCTACCAATTTGGCCAGTAGACAGCTCTCACCACAACATGACTTAATATAATAACTCACTGATACCTTATTTTTCAGGCACTTTGTGTAGTGAAAAGGCGTGTTTGGCATGAAATGACTGACTTACTGCGTCACAGTAAATAAACCACTCTTTCCATCCTTCCTATCATTAATGTGCTGTCGCCAATATTTCGATCAAATTATAATTTCTTTTAATACTAATATTTTATTCTTATTACTGTAAACATAATGAAGTTCTGTAATCATATTTAAGTTTACGATGTAATCCCCAGAGGATATTAGTTGGAATATTGTACTGTGTATCAAAAATATTGTCTAGAATAAGGCCATTTTGCTGTAACAATAACAGCAATTATAACTATTATTACTGATATACTTAAACATACTTGCCAAATAACGAATTCTACTGTTAGGTAGATTCCTCTGCGTTCCCTCTAACGAATATACATTGAGTCGTACTGTTTTGAGTATTCATGTGGTCATCATAAGCTGGAATTCAAGGGCCACTGGATTCCATCAGAATGGCTGAATAGGGAACGGGCTCGCGTCGTTATTTACAGGTTCCAGTTTTGATTCCTGTTCGGTAGGACCACATGTGGGCATTGCTGAAGAATCCAAGACTGGCACGAAACAGCTGTCTGGTACTCCATGGTTTTTTAAATGGTTCCCTAGTTGAAATCACTTCATGAAATCAATAAAATCCTAACGGACCAATACTTCAAGAATCCTCTAAATAGTCAGGAATTCTGATGAGGAGAGATGACTTAGTTTTCAGAAAAGTATTAAGACTGACGCAATCATTTCACAATGTTCTTAAGATTATATATGTTACTTATTTTAAATGATAATAAACGAAGAAAAAGGGTGTAACAGGCATTTTAATTAAGTAACTAATCATTGTTGTTTCATCCTGTGAAACAGTATGAAGTGAGGAAAATTAATAAACTCATGATACAGATGAAGTACCTAGCAGTGTTTAATTACAGTATTTATAACGAGCTGAAATCAGTTAGAAAACCATTGGAAGACCTGAGAGTACTGGACAGTTGTTTCATTCTTGTTTGAGACTCTTCATCAGCACTCACTCACAGAATTTTGGATCTAGGACCTCCCAGTTACAAGGCCATCTCGTAGACCATTAATCCCCTGGGACCTGATCCAATGGCCAGCCCACGAATTCCAACTTCTGCCAATTCGTGTTACATATTTAGCTCAACCACCAGCCAGTGACATGGGTGAGTAACTGTCCTCCCACGTGACCTAGTGGACCCATCTGTTAACCGCTTCCCACCAAAGTCCCAGGTCCCAGCGGCTTAATGGTCTACGAGCTCGCATCGTGCAACTGGAAGGTCCTGGGTTCGAACATCAGTGGGGGAGCACTGCTGAAGAGTCCCAAACTAGTCTGACGAAGTAGCTGTCCAGTACTCCCTGCAGGTTCTCCAATGATTCTCTAACTGATATTAGCTCGCGATCAATATTGTAAGCAATCAAATCCTTACAAACCAATACTTCAAAAATCATGTTCATTATCTGGAGTCCTTGTAAGAAAAGAGTGTGGAAACCGACTCAATCATTTCGCAGTATTCTTAAGATTATATTCTATCTAATCTATATTACAATGAGTAAATGAGAAGGGTTGTTAGACGCCCTTTTTTTAATTGAGTTGATATTATTGATTTTTTCGTGTTGTGAAACATTATGAATTGAAGAAGACTGATAAAGTCATGAGATGGTTGAAACATTTAACAAGAACTCAATTCGATTTCAATTAATTTTACCTGTTCATCCAAATACGATCTAGCAGTTTATGAAACTGACACATTAAGTTGTTCTTTTTCTAATTCGTAATTTACTTTCCACAGCACCAGGAAATTAAACTTGGGGCTAAAATAAATAGACTACGTTGAAGTAAGTGGTCAGAGTTCTAACCCACCTGCAGATTCTTTAGGTGTTTTTAGTTTTGTTTCAACATGTATATCTCCAACCACGCTCGGACGGAATTTCTGCATTTCTCCTTTGTGCTGATAACACACATCACATTCTCAGAGTCCACAGTTCAACCATACTAGCCATATAGATTTCGAAACGCTTTTCCCTAATTAATTGTAACTTTTATTGTATTTAAGTTTGTCGCTTCTCAGAGCATAATCCTTTTCTGTTATCAGCATTTCTAGATTAAGTAATGTATTGATTAAATGCACAGCTGGACACATTACGTTTAGTAAGATTGCTAAGAGAGTAACATTTCTTCAATATTATATTTAGTCTCTTATACATTATTCTATTTATTGTATATTTGATTACATCTTAGAAAGGGGGGAAGTCACATATCAGCTTCATGAAATCCACTAGAAACTGAGTAGAACTCAAGTATCATAAAACAGAATAGTTTTTAAAATAAGAAAGATTGATTTAAGCAATATAAATACAACTTTTAACCTCGCCTAGATTACTAGGTCACTAGTATTCTAGCCGGTCCCAAGCCCGGATAAAGAGGGAGGGTTGGGGCGTGGTGCTAGCAACTCCACCCCCAAAACTTAACCAAATTGCTACTAAAACTTCAACGCACAAATATATTCAAAATTCTAAAATTACAAATAGTGACCTTATTTTTCGCTGGAATCGGGGAAGTGAAATGACGCG